TCCAGCTTTTTTGAAGAAGCTTCGGTCAGCGTCCACGATTCAGCGCCGGAGAGAATATAACATCTGACTGAGAAATTTGACTCGAGGTTAGCTGGTGAGGGGAACCCCTTAGTCCGGCAACTCGGGAGGCACTCGTGCCGAACGAGGGCTGTCAGAGGTCACCCAAGGGCAACCGATGGGGGACTGATGTTCAGCTCATGGAGGCCATCAGCTGAAGTGATCTTCCCCCCATGCCGCGGAGGCCTTCAGCCGAAACGGCCCCTCCATCTCTGGGTTCAAACCCCAGAGATCCAACCAACCAAATTCCTTTGGACAACTTGCCTGACGGGATAACTTCCCATCAGCAGCAACGGATCCCAGTTGTAATGGTCGAGGCTCTCGCCACGACGAAACCCTGTTAGCGATAGCATAATTTCCGTTCTTATATTAAGACCGTCTACCATTTCCAGCAATGCGCCTTGTGCGCGGGAATGGTTTCACCTAGGAAGGGACGATGATTGGTTTGAACATCTGAGTAATCTTAACTTGGTGTTTAAGTCTCTACTCTTGAACATTGATCCCATTTTGATGAACGTGGCTCTGGCTTTTTCGATACGGCACTTTATTTCCAAGGAGTGATCCCACTGTGCTGCCCAAGTTTGTATATTTCAATATTCTCTCTATTTTTTTTATTATCAACTGCTAGTTGACCGGGGGTAGCAATAAAAGTGAAGTGGAGGTAGATATGTTTTGCCGCAAAAATGATTGTGTCACGTTCCGTTTCCATTTAGTAGATCTTGTCTGCCCGATCATAATAAATAAAATGAAAACTGAGGCAGAGCAGAAAACAAGACAAAAAATTATTTGATATAGTATAGCTGCGTCATATTGTGATATTAATTAAAATAATTATTATATTTGTTTACCGTCAAATCACAATAAAATAGTAAGTTAAGATAATTAAAATGATTAAAATATCATCTTATGTTCCATATCGAGCATTCGATTTACATCGGAACAAATATAATAATTATTTTAAATTTTAAATGTTATTTTACGTGGGTATCGTGCCTCAGAGTGTTAAGATAAACACGCAACATAGAAATAATAAATAACTTAATCCTTCACGTTGTGTGACATAATTTGAGGCACCCAGTTGGACCAGCTTAATGTCCGTGGCAGTTACTTGCACTAACAGAGCGTTTCCGGAGATAATGATGAGGGTGGAGGACCTGTCTTTTGTCATCAGCTGCCAAATGAACTGTTTTTATTACCTTCCAACTTCTCGCTACGCTTATTTTAATGGAAATAGGTCAAGCGTGGACATTGTGTTCAGACACCATCACCACCGTCATCTGACTGTTGGCATTCAGTGTCCAATTTGCTTGTATAAATTTGACGGTCGTACATCGATGGTGCTCAACTGTTCGCAGGCCAAAAATATATTGTGCCACTGAGTCGTGTAAAAATTATTCTCAAAATATGAGAAAACAGATTTTGTTTTGTCTTGAAAAGTATTCATTTCATTATTTATCAATTATAAAATGAGTTGAAAATTTCGTGGCGGTGTGCCGCGACACTGACATTAGGTGATCGTGGGATAGAATATTTGTCAAGTGGCGGTTGTTCATTGTTTTAGGATTTTTTATGCGTAAACCAAGGTTGTGAATCTTTCGAAGATCTATTGCCACTCATCACTGTACGACTCTATACAATGCGGCGCTAGTATCGGTCGCACCTAACACTGGCGCGACTAGCCGCGTGCGGCGTGTCGAGTGTTGTCGCGCGCGGCTGTTATTTGTATTGCTTTTTATAGGTGAGAAATCGCGGCGCGGCTGCCGCGCCAGTGGGTCCATAGCCAAAGTTTGTGCTTACACCATTGGTATTAACGAGTTCAGGGTAGCCACCAGTAACGAATTGCATACCATACTTCATCTAAACCCCTACAGAGGTTCTGGAGCTTAATCATAGAGACAGACGGACGGGCGGACAGACACACAGACACACGCGCACGCGCCCGCGCGTGGTAAGCCCTATGTGTGGTTGTTTCGTACACATAATGCAAAGAAAGCGTAACAACGAACATATGCCTAACGTCTCCAGGCCGCTGTTTTATGTTTCCTTAGAGAAACAACACAATATCTGAATGTTTAATTGTGTCTGCCTGTCTGTTCACCATTTCGTATGATTCAAGACCAGGGCCGCTGAATGGATTTGGATTAAATTTGGCATGGAAGTTATGACATTCGGGTCTGCCCTAAAATCGTAATCTTGTTAATTTCCTGAAATCGGCAACACTTATATGGCGGTATGGAAACTATTGCCATTTCAAAGGCCTGCAGGGTCATACGACGGCTTATGGTAATAGATCTCCGGAAGATACGCATCACTGACACGGCAATAATTTGTATAATGTAAAATGGCAACACGGCGACTACGCGAAATATATTGTACCTGTTATTCGAACCCGTACTTAATGTCTGCCGTGATTGCTCCCCCTGGCGTGCAGAAATCCACGCTTTGCCTTTGTCTTGGACACCCATGGCCTTCCCACGTTACCGATTAGAGTGTCACGTGACTTTCCTAAAGGCCTAAGCCAGCTCGGGAGCTTGCACTTCGAGAGTTCTTCCTCTCTCGGGACTTCCACACAAGGGATCTATCTCTCAGCCTTGGGACTTGCCTCCCCCTGTGATTTCACCCCCCCCCCTCCGTTCTGCGAAGCCGTTACAATCCTTGGCATTACCCTCCTTGAAATTGTAAGGATTTGTCAACATCAGGTATAGTCCTATTTGATATTACACCCATCGAAAGGAGCCTAGGAACAGCTTCGGACCTTTCGTATACCAAGTTCCAATCAAGTTATTGCTTAGCGTTTAAGTATTATCCGTGCTGATACTGTCTTAAAGCACCAGTGATTAACAAAGAGTGGAAACAAAACGGAATCATGTGTACCAATAATTCCAAGACACAGGTTATGTGACAGTCTACCACAGTTGCGTGCAGACCCTTGGTAGCGATACATTTCGGTAGTGTAAAACAGTAAAGTTATCAGATCTTTACTTTTCAGAAGATGTGAATTTGTCCGTAGGTCTTTGTTATTAAGACTAAGTTAAGGGAGAAATTCCAATAATTTGAGCCTTTAAAGAATTTTGAGTTTATGTCCATTGAACTGTTCTAGCGATGGAAGCATTTTACTCTTGTGGAATGTAGAAATGGAAGATTTTAAGAATAATCATGCATTAGCACTCCACATCAGTACTTCATTTGATGTTGAAATATAACGTGTTTCAATGTTACTGAAGTAAAGTAAATATACAGCTGTCCCACTATGAGCCATGTAGGCGCTTTGGGGGGGGGGAGGTATAGCTCCTACTCATTCTTGACCTTGGCACTAGATGGAAGTGAGTGGTCAGCATCACGCCCGGCCACGCTTTACGTCTGGGAAAGGACCCGGATACCTATTGGAGAGGTGGCTAGATGGGCCCCAGAGTCAGTCTGGACACAGAGTCTAGAGGAAAAATCCTCTGCCCCGTCGGGGATCGAACCTCGGTCGTCCAGTCAGTAGCCAGCCACATTACTGACTGAGCTATGCCGCCTCATTCAATGCTACTGAAGGATCATTAATTTTGAAGATTTATGTCTTCTGGGTTGTTGCGCTGTGTAGTCTGGTCGATGGTTACCAACGTTTCAGAGGTCATACTGCCTCCATCATCAGGGCGATGAAGATTTCTGCCTTCTGGGTTGTTGCGCTGTGTAGTCTGGTCGATGGTTACCAACGTTTCAGAGGTCATACTGCCTCCATCATCAGGGCGATGAAGATTTCTGCCTTCTGGGTTGTTGCGCTGTGTAGTCTGGTCGATGGTTACCAACGTTTCAGAGGTCATACTGCCTCCGTCATCGCCCTGTTTACCATTTCCAGCAATGCGTTTCGTACACAGGAATGGTGCTATCTAGAAGGGATGATGTCTTGCACTTGCGCAGGACTCCACCCTTAGTTAGCTTTTTGGTTGTCTGTAGACATCAGACCCGTTATGATGAGGACTGAGACATTTTTCAAAAGTCAGTTTCTTGCAATCACTTGACACACATTTCAGTTTATAACATATGTACCTACTTATCTTAACACAAGCCACATAATACTCGGCTCTACAAAACAGAACTGCCAGTCACAGTGGATGTGTGGTCTGAGGTTTGTGCCTTGTGTGCTTGGACACTGGGACCGTGGGTTTGAATCCCACTCAAGGCATTGATGTTTGTCTGCGTCTTTCTCTGTTGTTCTGTCCTGTGTATAAGTAGAGGCTTTATGATGGGCTGATCACTCATTCAAGGAGTCCTACCAAATATCTAAATAGATCAAGAAACCTCCAAAAAGAGGTGGCCAAGGCCCGCATGGGTTGTAGAGGCACGGAGAGGAGGGGGGAAGAGAACAACATACAAATATGTAAATAGATAATAAGTCGCAGTTCATAACATAATAAAGTTTAGAACAATAACACCAAAACATGCTGATGATAAAAACAATTCCATTTGAAGAAATTTTGATATGCTTCTTCGATAGAAAATGGTGCACTATGGTAATTCAGTATTCATACTAAAAATATCCTGAAGGTGACATAATATATGTCAAAACATGTTGCCATAAAGTCATACGTTGTAATAAAGTTGCGTATATGGAATTAATAATGAATAGAAAGTACAAAATACAACTCTATATGGCTATTTTCTGGGTTGTAGTGCCATGTGGTTTGGTAGAAGTTTACCAACGTTTCAGAGGTCCTTGCTGTCTCCATCATCAGCACAAGGAGTGAAAATGCAACTGGAATACTTCAATATAAAATTTATAATTGGTATTCCTCACCTAGCATTCTACATACTGCATATGGAGACAGTCAAGGTGGGCATATGCAGAACATAGTAGGAGCAAGAAATGCATACATTTGTTCTTTAAATGACTCAATGGAAAAAACCATTAGGGAGACTGTGCATACATGGGAGGCTAACATTAAAATGCTTTATGCCATGGAGTTAATAGTAAAAGTAACATTTTCTTTCCGTAGAGATAAGCTGTGAGCCTGGTTCCATCTTCAAACAGGATTGCAATAAATGTCGCTGTTCTGCAGATGGACGTGGAGCAGCTTGCACCCGCAAAATATGTTTACCATCTGTCAGGCAGAAGCGTGGTAAGATCATTGGAAATACGTGGCTAAGTAACCTAGTTACTATCTGATACTTGCTGGTGCATACCTCTTTAGAACAAATCTGCTTGCATCTGTTATTCATTTATCATCTGATCTGTATTTAAAATTATTGTTAATTAATACTATAGACACAAGATTATCATTTTGTTGCCTGCTTTGTATGGTTCTGAAATATAGTTTTTTAAGCCTGTGAAAAGACATAACTTGCAAGTATTTGAATAAAGATGAATTCAGAATAGAATAGAGACAATTATATACTAAGACATTTGTGTGATTAATACAGCTTACTCCTGTTTTGCATTTTCTGAGGTAGTGATGAGTAATAGTGATTTTTAAAATTTGTAGTTTATACAGGGACTGTCTCATGCTAACATTGACATTGAAAGAATCTTATAACTCACTGTATTCAGAGACCTGAACATGTTACAAAAACTCTAAACAGTCTTGCTAAATTTATAACCTTACCAACTCATCTTACATTATTTTATCATTCGGTACCTCACATAATCTGTGTTGTTGGCAAAATGTCATTAAATAAAGGACAACTAACCAACCAACCAGAGTTAAAAATACACAAACTTGTTTGCCGCTCAGCTCCCAGAGATGGAGAGCGGTGTGAGCCTGGAACAAGATTCATGGATGAGTGCAATATGTGCATCTGCTCACAGGATGGCATAAAAGCTCATGCATCATGCACCATTAACATATGTAGGAGGATCAAGAGAGGTAGGAAGAGATGTGTACAGACAGATGCATGGATTGCATTTTTATATGCATGTTGAGTTATGTAGAGAACTCAGCAAGCATGCTCTGTTTTGCTGTTCCTGACTTCATGTAGAAAACATTTCTACGCCACCAAAATGACAAAATTGTGATTCTTCATGAAATGTTCGCTATATAGATTACTAACAGTGACAGAATGAGTAGTTTTCAGGTTCTTTTTCTTGATTCTTGGATTTTCTCAGTCCTTAAAATGTCTTCCAGGAATGTGTTATTTAAATTGGGCTAGTCCACACAAACCATAAAATTGAGTGATTGTGGCAATGACAGTGTGATTCTTCTTCTTTTGTAATCAATCCTAGGATTGGTTGGCAGCAGCTATTGAGCTGCTGATACTTGGGATATCCTGAGGATCTTTAATGCGGTGGATTCCCCTTGCCTTCTGCATCCTATGCCGTTGACCCATCCGGGTTCATCCGCCTTTAGGGGTGATTTCTCACCCCAAGGGCATGAGGGTGCCCTGAACCTCCACCCGCTCATCCACCCTCTGAAGAGGCTGTTGACACTTGATAGAGGGGGACCACTTATACCGGTGGTCACTCGGTCTGTGGACACAGTTTAACGTCATGCCCAGGGGGAAAGAAAACTCTGACATAAATTCCCTTTGCAACATTTAAATCTCTGAACCAAGCAATTACTTTTTCCATGGCCATGGGCATTATATAACATGGATCTGTTATTAGCCAAAATGAAAGATAGTTATGAAGAATTTCAAAGTCCAAATATGTGTACCTGGAATGTTAAGAAATAGATTTGCTGAATTAATAACAGTATATGGAGCGGATATAAGGATGTTCTCTTGTATTTTATCCATTGTCTGGGATAGAGTCTATATCTACAACTTTTTAGAAACTTTTTCTGTCTCCATATTCAGATTATAAACAAGGAGAGAGAATAAATACCTTCTCAATCAGGTCCACTGAACAAATTTATAGTCCTAACTGGGCCACAGTACAGATCTGCTGGGAAAAGCAAAATGGACGGACTCTTAAGAGACTTCTGAACAATTGACACTAGAAGGACTGAAGCAGCCAAATCTGCTATTTAATGACAATGATGATGAATCTAAATATGTACTGACTAATTACATAATAATTACAGTACTTTATGGATGGGAAGAGCCATATGCTCAATATATATTACTGATTCAGTTCTCATTATGAATATGTAACATCCATATACTGAACCATTCACAATCTCCCACCATGCATATTCCTTTTTACCTAGTTGAAAACATGCATGTTTTATCACAGGATTTCAAATACTCTACAGTTGTCATGTTGAAATGTTCAGTGTTTCATGAATTACATAAGTAATACTTGTGTTCTTATAAGAGACCAGTTATGAAGCATATTTTAATCGTCCTATACTAAACATTCAGATTTGGTCTCTCTCATCATGAACCCATGAAGGTAGAGAGATCTTCAATCATATGACCTAACTTCTCTGCAAATTTTAATCTGGTTATCTCCACCCAATGCTTTACCAGAATCGTCATTGTCTTCACTTCACCATTTTCATCATGTATCATTCAGTTCTCACGCACACCAAGTTTTGGATCTGTGAATCTTCTGCATTAATTTTCATAAACTGTTCTGCATAGAGATGACACCATTATAACCCCCCCCCCCCCAGCTATTTCCATATATAAACATAGGTGCTGTTATTAACTGAAAACTTTGGTATGACCACAGGTTATAATGAAATAACTTATAACAAGGAAGTAGACAAAATTATGAGAGATGTGAAACTCAGGAAACGGCATTTTGGTATCAGAATGTTAATGACAGTTAAACTGTTTCTGGACAGATACTTGCACCCCTGGAACCAACTGGAAGCAAGACTGCAACATATGTTTCTGTACACCCACTGGTGCACCTGCATGCACACGGAGAGCTTGCTTTAACAGACCAGCACAAGAAGCACTCTGTAAGTTACACATGATGAAACCACAATGAAAACTTGAACAGACTGAACACTTACATGGCTGATTGATTGACCAGAGTCTTACTTCTTATGTGACTGACTAATCATTGAATTTTCTTATGCATTAGCAGACTCACTCAATCTCAGTGTGAATGACAAAGTGACTGATTTATCATCTGAACACACACATTTTCCTCACATGTCACAGAAACACAATTGGCACATGCATTCTCTGCAAACGTTGGATTCTAAATGTGTAGCCTAATGTACTCCAGCCGAGATCAACCCTGTCTCACCAACTCTGTACCCTAACTGATGGTTACTTTGGGTCCAATGCTTGTCTTCGTTGCTGTGTTTACCTTACAGCAATCATATCTTGGAATATTAAATCACAGATTAAGTCCAGAAGAAAAGCAGCATTACTCTACCATGTACCCGAGCCTTTCATAACCTAGCCTAACCTAACTTCTGCATGGTTACCTTGTCTCCCATGTTTGTCTTCATTACCATGATTCCCATATAATCTTGGTTACCTTGATTATCATGGCTGTCTTGTTTACCATGGTTACCATATTGATTCTTGTGGACAAACAGACATTTCCAGCTCTCTCTGCATTGTTTTCATTTACTTTGTGTAAAGAATGCATAATAAGTTTACCTGTCTCCTCTGCCTTCCTTCCAATTCACTGCCTTGTCATTCTTACATCGAACACTACACAGGCAGCTTTATGTTCCTAGAGAAATGTGTGCTACACATTAAAAATTATTGTAAAATAGTGTCTGAATATGGTCACATCAGACAGTTACTTTTCAAATGCTCAGAAAAAAACATATGGGACTAAGAGGAATTAATTCCTGTAATGGACATTCATTACCAGACAGCCAAACTGTGTGACACTAAATATTTTAAAGTGCTTCACAGCAAGTTTCTGTGTAGCACTGCCATATAATTTGTAATGTGGTTCAGAAAATATGCAAATTCTATATATTATTGTTACATGAGTCTGTTAGAAGGGCATCAAATTTTCACTGTTTCAGATTCACTTGTATACCCCCAGTGGATGACAATTTAATAAAGCAACTTGGACTTTTTCTTATTCAGCAAATTCTTCTTTCTATGGTGCAACAGCCCGAAGTCAAGCCTTGGCCTCCTCCCATGTGGGAGGTTTCTTTGTCTTCAAACTGTGCATTTATAAGTAGTGAGGGACCAGCCCACTGCCTCTGCACAATTTATACTCAGTCCTGATTTGACTCCTAGAGCCATCTAGTAGTGAATCAGGAGAGACTTGGGTGAGAAATGGCCATTGAATTTAGATTATGAAACACCTCATTCATGCTTGTAAGGTTCTTTTACATGCCGTAAATCTACAACATTGGACCACCGGTTTTATGTCCCCTCCGAAGGAAGTTGTGCTAAGGAAGTTTATCACCCTTAAAAATCCACCAACCTTGGCCGGGTTTGAGCCCATGAACTTTGGGTCCAGTGGCGAGCATGCTAACCACTAATCCACCGAGGGCGACATTCAGCAACTTAATGATTTTACATTTAGCACCATGCAGCTTACGCATGACCAGTTAGCCATGCTAAACACTTAAACTCAGAGGTAAATTCTGGCCAGCAGCCATGTAAATGCCATATTCCCATATGATACAGGTTAATTAACCAGTTAATGAGGCATATTAAAATATGTGAATTAATGTGGTTTTCCCAGCAGCTCAGACCTGTGAACCTGGGTCAGTATTCAAGAAAGATTGCAACACTTGCATATGCTCTGCAGATGGAAGAAGTGCTGCCTGCACAGAGATTGGATGTCCGCCTCAGAACATCAGAAAACGAGGTATGTTACATTAATTTTTGAATGTATTCTTTTTCTTTCTCAGCTCTACAACACGATGAGGGTCTTAGCTACCTCCTTTCAGAAGTTTCCTGGTCTTTTGATGTGTGTGTTTGTGAGTAGTGAGTGACCAACGCATTGACTATCCACAATTTCTACTCCTGATCCTGATTTGTCTGCCATTTAGTAGATAATCAAGAGAGGCTTGGGTGAGAAATGGCTGCCAAATTCTGCTCATGAAACATCTTGTTCATGCTTGTAAGGTTCTTTTACATGC